GCTCCAAAACACTGTTTTGCCTGCTCCAAAACGGCTTAGGCCAATCACATCACTGCAAGCAGCCAATGGCTTTGGTTGTAAAGAAGACGTTTCAGAAAAATAACTAAGTGGCTGTGCAGTCATTCTGGAACCACAGCACTGATGCCACCAAAAAACGAAGAGCATTTACCACAGCTTTTAAACTGTGTGCGATAGAGCGTGCACAAGAGCACAAGTCAAATAGGGCAGCGGCAAAGGAGTTGGACGTTGATAAGAAGAGTGTGAGGATGTGGGTGTCTGCCGAAGAACTTCTCAAGGAAATGCCAACCAGGAAAAAAAGCACGAAGACAGAAGGTACCAACTTGGCCAAAGCTTGAAGAAAAAGTTGCAACGTGGATTCAACAGCAGTGTGAAACCGGGTGTCCAGTACCAACGGTACGAATCAGGTAGGTTGCTCGTACAATGGCTGTAGAAGAAGGTCTTGCGGGATTTCGAGGTGGTGTGTCCTGGTGCACCAGGTTTATGAAGAGAAATTGTATGAGTGTTTGTCAGCGCACAACGGTTGGTTAAAGTGAGCCGGAACAATGGAGAGAGATAAAGCGAACATTTCAAGAGTTTGTGCTACGGTCAACGAAAGAAATTGGCATTCCGGAATGCCAGGTAAGCTTTTTTTTTATGAGTCACAAACTTTTGTATTTATGATATTTTATTAGTTTGCATGTGGTGCTACAAGTGATGCAAAACTATCTGTAAATTGACTATCAATAGCTTTTCCAAGACTATCGATAGTGTCGCAGAACTATCGATAGTTTTCCAATAGTCAACTATCAATAGTACTATCAATAGTCTTTTTATTATGAATAGCCATATTTCTGGCAACTATCGACACTACTATCGATAGTTTTGCACTACTATGGTAAGTGCTTGGGCTAGTTGGCGTCCCATTTGAAAAAAAAAAAAAAAATGAAGTAAGAAAAGGAGAGGAGTGAGCGACATAATTTACTAGTGTCGCAAGACTCTCAATAGTAAACCGTAGACAGTACTATCGATAGGTAGCTATCGACAGTTTTCCAATAGTTGATAAACAATACTTTTCTGATAGATTTCTGATCTATGGGTTTTTTTTTTACTATGAATAGTCAAATTTCTGGCGGCTATCGATATTTTTGCACATCTAGGAGCTACCTGTCTTAGAACTAATGCATTTCACTTTTTCAACAGGTGTACAACATGGATGAACTGCTAATGTCATTTGATATGCCACCAAATCGTACCATTGATGACGTGGGAATGAAGACGATCTGCAACAAAACAACTCGCAACATGCGAAACTGCTTTACTGTTGTTCTTGCATGCAGGATTTCAAGTGACAAGCTTCCTCCGCTAGTCATTTTCAGGCACAAAATTATTGTGAAAGAGGATTTTCCGAAAGAAATTATTCCGAAAGAGGATGGATGAGGGACGATGTGATGCACAAGTGGATCGATGATGTGGTGAGGAAACACAAGGTATCATTCTCCAATCCAAAATGTCTTCTGATAATGGATTCAATGCGAGCACACCTCATGGACAGCATAGAAGAAAGGTTTAGAAGGGCGGCGATCTCCCTTGCCATAATTCCAGGTGGCATGATGAAACATCTTCAGCCTCTAAACATCCCAGTCAACCGAGCTTTTGAGAGTAATGTCCAAAAGCACTGGGAAGCATGGATGCAAGATGTAGTTCACGCGTATACAAAAACTGGACAGATGCACAGAGTGACTTACGAAGATGTGTGCAAGTGGGAACGCTATTCCATGTCGAGTTGTTGTCAACGGCTTCTCCAAAGCAGGTCTAAAAACTTTGCACAAGAATTGCCTGATGTTGAATGTAACAGCGCGGAAAACAATGATGAAACTAACATTGAATCGCCAATGATTGACCTTTTTTGCTCAGACAGCACTGGCAGCGATTATGACAAATTTTGTTAAGGGGAGACGCGGGTCTTAAAATATCAAAAAATCGCGAAAAATGCCATTTTTCAGATTTTGAGGTCTACATAGTCCAGAGTATGTCCTCACAAAATATAAATGCTCAATTCGATCTCTAAATAAGAAAATAATGACAATTTGTAAGCGTTGACAGACCCGACTTGAAGCCTAAACTCTGAAATGTCAACAAAGTTCAAGCCGTCTGAGCGGTCTGAGCTCTGCAACGGCTCAACTGATTGCAGCCATCTTGGTCTTGTTCGAAAGCTGGTTTCCCGCGCTTATTTTTTCCGCGCTCTAAAGCGGCGTATCTCTCAAAGCCATGGCGTCATCGATGCCGGACGAAAGGCCTTCACCAGCGCAAGAGAGGCGCTGATTGGGCAAAGCGCGCGCTCCTCCGAGGCGCAGCTCTCTCATTGGCCAAGACGCGCGCTTCCTCTCCTGGCTTCCCCGGCGCAACGTCCAAGTCGCTCTGCGGGCTCCCGCGTCGTCTGCTTTCCCTCGCTTTGCCGTTCGAGACGCACGTTACATTCGGATTTCCCCACTTTCTCTATCAATATTTTCAGTGTTTTCTGTTGTGATTCGGAGAGCCCAATAAATAAAAAAAAGAAAGGAAAAGAAGCAGCGCCGAGGCGGCCTGCTGAAAGATGTTGTCTCACATGCCGAGGTGGGGCGGCGAACACCGGCGGGTCCGAGGCGGGAACGACCCGGAAGGAAGGGACGTCTACATCGGTCGAGGTCAGAACACGTACTGCTTTATTCAGAGGGAAACACGTACTGCTTTATTCAGAGGGAAACAGCCCGGGGGCCAACCGCCCCGGGGGAGATCCACCTGGGCGCACGGCCCAATGGATGAAGTGTAGCGCCGCCTGGCTACAGCGATATGGTGTGGCGGTCAGTGGCGCCATCTGGTTAGTGTGGCAATTACTAAAATGGAAAAATTTAAATACTACATTTTCTTTGTGCTTCCTAGTATTTCGTATGTTCCCTGTCTTCTTAGCATCGTTCGTGTAAATATTTTGATACATCCTCTTTGTTTAGCTTTGCTTTTTCCTTTCTGCGCCGTTGTTCTTTGTTTCGTTCTGCGCACTTCGATGGTTGGGGACGCCGGTTTGAAACTCAACACGCAGATACTAAACAGAAAGAGGAGACGTGCCTAGACCTCCGCATCGACAAAAACATTCCGCTTCGCCGATGCGCAAGTCGCTCTACCGCTGGTGGAAGCGACTGGATCAAGTTCGTATTCGACAATTTCGCCGAGCCCTAGGGAAAAAAAAAAAAACAGCTAAAAAAGCCCTCAGGGCTAACCAATTGTTGCATATGGGGCTGCTTTCCCTACCCGTGTCTCTTTTTTAGTATGCAATTCTAACCAAAGGCGTCCCTTCAAAACATTGTTACTTATGCATATCCAAATTTCGAAGTCTATTACCCCAGCTTTGTTTTTTTCAGCATAGGCTTTTGACTCACTTGCGCTCAACCGATTTTCATAAACTCTGTACAATTTTCTTTGGAATGAACTAGACTGCAAGCTAAAGCTACTTTTATTATGATATTTAGGTATATAGAACTGGCATTTCATTATTAGACATTCTTATAGCCTCTATTATATGACTTCTGTTCACTTTAATTCTTTTACATGATTATATTGTGCTAAAGAAATAAAAATAGCTTTAGCTTGTATGGCATTTCTTCAGGAAATAAATGATACCTTTTTAGCATTAAAATTTCAATAGGTTTTTTTTTTTTAAACCCATGCTCAAATTAGCTAATTAATATTTTATACTGTTGATAACTTTTGACAAAGAAGAGACATCTGAAATCTGATTGCAGTTATGGAATCAGCATAGTAAACTGCAAGCCTATGAAAAAGATCACAGACATACCAATAAACAAAAAATATTTTTGGATAACCCACTTCCTCCCAGTCTGATTTTATCAACATTTCACTAATTCTTTACTTTTTTCGTATTTTTTTCTAATGTTCCCATGAACGGATTACGTAATTTTTTATGTCAAGTTCTTCAGGAAGACTTACACTACACTTTGATGGCAATTATTGTTTATCATTCTGCACACAATTTTCTATGTTCAGTGTCAAAACTTTAACTTCGATTTTCTCATCTTCGTGTTTTTTGTCAACATGCTTAGCCTTACGGGGGTTTTCATGAGGTTTTTATCGTAGCATTCTGGAAACTTTGATACCGTTTTATTCAGAAAGGACTGGACTACGGAGTAAAGCTATTTTTTTTTACAGTCTAGAGTTCCAAAAAAAAATTATGATAAATAATGTGACCTCATTAATGTCATAATTGGCATAATTAGCCAATTTTCATATAATATTGTCATTTTGTGAAAATATAAATAGCTTTATAATGCATGGCAGACCTTTAGCTATGCATCTACATTAATAAAAAAAATAATTTTTGTTGGAAATGGCCTTAACGACCCGTAAGGAATTACCAAATTAGACAACGCTATTTTTAATAACTTGAGAACTACTTGAGATATTTTAAAACTGATTTCATATTTAAATTGAGGAACAAGAAGCACATATGCACAGTGATTTTCATTAGAATAGCTGCAAAAATAAAAAAAAGTCAATTTTAGAACCAGCATCTCGCCTAATATGTAACTTGTGATTTGTGTATGATGCAAGCTTTATTGTCTGCTAATAAAGTATACTTGCGAGGAATTTTTCAAGATGTGTTCTGTGTAATGATTTACATGTGGACTGGTCACTAGGTGCGGACTATAGTCTGGAAAATATGGTATTTCTATTTACAATTTTTAATTACTTAATGTGGTTTATAAGATTGTTTTGTTAAAAAAAGTTTTAACGCTCATTAATGTGGTCTGGCCACTCTGGCTATGCTCCAAACTTGACCAAACCTATCCAAAACGCACCGAGGTTTGGCTGTTCTTCCGGAACTTTCCGAAACCCCAGTTTCGGGTCTGAAACCAGTTTCAGAAAAAGTTTCACTTCATCACTAGATAATTGTAAGAAATATATTGCAAGAAATGGATTTTATAGCATCCAAGTAAAGTATAACATCTTTAAGTGAAACTCAAAGGGACTAGGAAAAATTGCTTCACATAAAACAAGGGCACTTTGAAGAAATTAGGAACTAAACAAATATTTTGCAAGGTTCTCCTGATTGGGAATGTTCCACTTAGAGTGTCTCCTGTAGCAGGAAAGAGCTCTAACATCTGTTAATCACAACTGCCATAGAAAGAAGAAAATAAGGGCACCTTGCAACTGGTCTTTCAATGTTTTTCCGGGTCACTCCTTGCTTGTAGCCATTGACGCCAATGAAAGGCGTTTTTTCTCCGTCCCACCATATGATACCTGGGAATATAAAGGTAGATTGTTGATTATGCAGTGACCACACATACTTGTTCAGAAGCACATACTTCTAATGAAAGAAAGACAAAATTGGGGAAGTTTTCAGCAGTTCAGCCAATCTGGCAGTATCTGTCAAATACTGCAACTGTAAAAGCTTCAGCTCGCACTGACCATAAACTCTAGGAAGCTGGCAAGGAGGCCCAGAATAAAAACCAAAGCTCTTACACAATGATAGTTTTGATTTACTTGACATGCTAGATCAAAACTACATTTCGGTATCATCACATTATTTGTATGCGGAGAGAGCAAGTCGTGTGCTTCCCGCGCAAGGGTTGCGGTGACGTCGGAACGTCGCAAAGTTCTGACTGGCTTTGACTGGAAGGATAGTGGGTAGACCTCAATGCTAGATGCACTAAGGCCTACCCACTAGCTTTCTAATCAGAGCCAATCGGAGTTCAGCATTCTGACATCATTGCAACCCTTGTGCAAGAAGCGGACAAACTTACGCTCTGTGTAGTACATCTATTAGATGTATAGAAAGATAATAAAGATAATGATAATGAAGGCCTATTGTCCAGTGCGGGAGTCGGATTACCGAAGCTGTGACTCACTTGAAGCGCATGGAATTACAGGATGCCCACTTGTCATTTGCTTGGAGTGTGTAAAGACCAGCGAGCTGTAATGAAGCTCAGGTGGTTCGGGTGCTTTCAAAACAGCCGGCAGCCTCCCGTGGATCGCTCTGAGCAGTGCTTCCTTGCTGTAAGGACACCTAAAATTTCCACAGAAGGGGAAACAAGTGTAAAAATAACCGTGCACACGCACAAAAATACAGAGGTGGAACACTATCCCAACTAATGGCTGGCATGGAAGTTCAATGAAAATTTAAACCAATAAAAGCAAATGCATTCCTAACTCCAAAATTTTTAAATTTTTTTTCTTTCAAAATGTTTTTTTTTTGTTTGTTTTTGTTTTTTTTAGAAGTTCACTTTAGGGATGAGGTTTGTTGACCTTTTGAGTACCTAGCATTTTTTCCCGCATGCCAAATGCAAATATTGGTTTCAGTAACACTGTAGCATGCTCTGCGAAAATGCCTCCACCCTACGACACATTTCTCGTATTGTACATTTCGAGATGCGGTACTATACAGCGGCGATACAAACTGCAAATTCTTTCAACATCAAAATTATTACCCCATTCCTTTATACTACAGACCAAACATATATCTAAATTATTAAAGTCACAAAAAGCGGTGCCACGTACCCCGCAACTACGACGGACGACAGTCGGACGGGGTTCCGCAGGAAATGAGACAACAGTGCGCCCTGGATCCCGCAGAAGCCCCACCTGGCCATTTTGTCGCTGCAGGACATTGAGAGGGACACGTCCCCCCTCCCCGGCTTGCTCCTGAGGATTCCGACCGTGTGGTACTGCGGGCCGGCACACTTGGCGTCCTGCGGCCCGCCAGAAACACATTTGGCTCCTGTCCTGGGCGTAATAACGGCACAATGCTCCAAGGTGTTTTTGTCTCTCCTCCTCGGGAGATCTGAAGAGCCTTCGCTTCACAGCTACGGCAACTGGAATGCGTCTCCAACCGGTGCATTTACTGCCTCCTAAGAAGTGACCTCTCCATTTCCATTAGACGACGTCGTAGAACTTCGGCAGTCACGAGCTAGGACACCGAAACAACAGCGATGCTTGCGTTCTCTTGTACCTTTTCACAAAACTTCCAGGCCCGAAACCATTGGGACGATCACGACAACCGACGGCATGACAGTCCGGCTTTTGTGGCATCATTTGTTGCCACTTCAAGACCACACTCTATGCAAGGGCAGAATAGTAGGTTAAACACACCAATCAGAGGCGCCTTCCAGGCACTGTATTACGACCGAAACATTGTCTTGGGCACCTGTAGATGTCGGAGAAAGTTGTCTTTTTTCGCTTTGCTGGCGTCGGCCCTTCTTCCGGCGCCTCGCTGCCGTCCGACTGATCCAAGACTTCCTTTGGAAAGATGGACGCATCTCCACCTATAAAGTAATTGTTTTTTTTATTATCAGTTTACAAAACTGATTAAAGCATACTCCAATCTTACATTCTGATCTTACGTTTTTAATTCTGGGTACTACTATGCCTATTATACTCCATTTCAATAGTTCTCTACAGCATTGTTAGAGGTGCGAGCAGATGGCTTAAGCGCTTTCTGTGCACAAGTGCCGACGATGGCATTTTGAAGACCCAGTGTGGTCGTGTTATCGACCACGATGCGCACAACTCACAAGATGGAGTATGTATGCACATTTGCGAGTACGGCCTCCTGCGTCGTAACCGAATTATGGCCGCACCCAAGCGAGCAAGATGGCAGCACCCTGAGGCCGTACTTGCAAACGTGTATACGGGGTGTTTCTCAGAACACGGGTCAAATCGCTGCTGCGTAACAAACACTTCACACAAAAGAAAAGCTACTGTCATACTTGTCTCTGACAAAGGGCCCATCTGGGAAAATTAATAATTGGCTTCTTAATTATTTTAGACTAATTAGTAAATTTAAAGATATAGTTTCAATCAAACTTTTTGGGCATCATCGAAAACTACTAAATCGGTTAATTTTTCAAAAAACATAAAGCAGGCAAAACAAATTCAGTGTGCAAAAAAAGAAAATAAAGAAAAAGCTTACAAGGTGTGTGGCTTGAAAACAAATGCAGCCGTACGCCACATTTCATCTGACATGCGAACCGATCGGTGTGGCTGACAGGAGTCAAGATGGCAGATGTTTTACCTTGGACCACTTTGCACAGTTCTGAATAGACATACCTAAAAAGATAACAGATCCATGTTGTTTTAATAGTCACAGTTCTAGTACACAAGTACCCTTATGTGACTTCCTAGAATGGCAAATGTATGGATGCAAAAAAAAACCACAATCACAAATGTTGAAAGCATTTTGACGACAAACACCTAACGGATGTTTCATAATGTGTTTTGTCATATAAAGATTGAGATACTGTAAAACACTGCAGAAGCGCCCACTGTTAACATTTCCCAAACCTGAAGATTATACGTTAAGTGCCTAATTTGACTGGACAATCGCGTATGTCTAGATTAACCTAGTTTTCAGTGACAGTAGGGGGGTGCTCCCCCAGTATTTTACAGTATTTATAAAGTATGTTGTGTCTTGTGTTATCTAACGTTACTCAGTTTTGAATAATAACAAGAATATTTGCAAATGTGCCATCATGTTAGGGGCACCGAATCAAACAGCACGAGCCTAAAAAGGATGTCTAAAACACTTCCTCAGTTATGCTATAATCCCTCCAGAAAGGTTAAGTTCATTAATCATACTGTCATTCTGAAATTTCATGTTTTAAGTCGGGCCATGTCCTAGTTCAGGGGTTTCAAACACGCGACCCGCATGCAGCCCGCGACTCGCTGGGACGCGGCCTGGAGGTAACCACCTATGACCCCCGGTTCACGTCTCAAGCGCTAGAAATAGCATGCGCCATACTGATCTCGTCTTGTTGATTCATTCTCGCTCAAAACATAGCTCTGATCTTTTAACATACTCACATATTTTATACTTATCTGTGTTCATGAATCATTTGCCCTTTGTTTCACTTTATTTTTTGCTTCCCAGCTTTTTGTAATGTACAACAATCCAACTACTAGGCTGCAAGCGCAAGCTATTCGTTGAAGGATGCGTCTTGACTGCGAGAACTCTTGATCAGCAAGAGCAACTGCGAAAGATAAAGCTAAAAGGTCGGGATTCTCGCCTTAAAAAAAAATATCCTCATTAAAATACAAGTACTTGTTCAGAGTGTTGTAATAAAAGTCGTCAGGAAAGCAAGACTGTCAAATTCACTGAATGTTTTTAAGAGACATCTTGGGCTTGCTTAATTCCTGCGTGAATTGAGCAACGGGGACGACAGTGTATTTTCTCTCTTGTTCCGTTCAAAATGCCAGCAGGTTGGTGGTGCAGTGTCATTTTAATTCTCGTTGTCACACCAGGTCAGGGACCAAAGTAGTAATATAAACAAATCAAAGCTAAAGATGTCACTGGAAAACTGTTTTACAAAAAGCATAGAGCACAAGGCCCTTTCTATTTTCACATCTTTTGACCCCCACCCCTCACCCTGTTTTACATTGGCCTTTGGCTTTTCCAATGTGGGATATTTGTCCCCGACACTCAAATGAGTTTGAGACCAGTGTCCTAGTAGGAAAAATACAATAACCTAATATTTTCTCTGGCGAATGACAGATGAGCAGACTGGACAACCACTATCTCTGATGCACCTAAAAAAATTGGGGCACATAATTATTCTTGTTGCAGGCTTGATATGTTATGACACTGAGGCCAATATGAAAGGTATGTTTGAAATAAACTGCAACATAAAATGTTATTCTTTCTTTTTTTTTTTTTAACAGCTTCAAGTTTTGAAAAAGAGAAAGTTGGTGAAGGATGGAACTTGATGAATAAAAAAGCATAGAGCTGGAACACATACAGCGGCGCTAGCTCCTTTGTCTCATGCCTACATTTTAAGACTTGCACTTTTTTTTTTCTTTTCTTGAGACATTTGAACATGTTAAATAGATACTGTCGCTGGTTTTACTTCTAGTGTCACGCAGGTGTAGCTGCTGCTTACCTTATAAAGCCCCTACGTGCTAAGACTTCGGCGTGGCTGTCAATCACTTGATTTCCTGGAAACATACACATTTAATTCCATTAAATCAATTTGCCAAATCACGAGACTTAACAGTATCTGTAAGCAATGTATGTTGCTGTCACACTTGAGATGCCAGAGGGACCAACGCCACGAAACATTCATTTTTATTTTTCACTTATTTGACTCAGGAGTGTCGGGAGTTCGCACGAGGGCCGAAGGCCAGTACCGGTCGGCCTACAAATTCGTGCGCAAATTTGAGATGTGTGTGTATGCGTTGTAACAACCCCCGTTTGAGATGTCATTCTATTAATGTTTGTTGCTTTGAGAAAAGGTAATTCGCTCCTTGTGAACGATTATTGAGAGGATAATTTTACCCCCGTACAAATCAGGAAAACCATTTCTGACGAACCTAGTTTGGACACCTCTGCAGTGGGAATACTTTTGGTGCCGGTCGCAAGCGACACTACCCGCATGGTGCCTGCAAAAGAAGTTTATCAATAACAGATATGTCATCTATGCAAGTAGCGTGGGTAGGAAGTAATATTGGACGCAATGTCAGAACAGAATGGTATGATAAACCATCTAAGATTCTAAAATGTAGGGCAGTGGGGCGACTTGCCTCGTTCGGTGTCCTCCGAGACGATAGCAGCTAGCAGAGTCCATTCAGATGTCCTGGCTGGTTTTCCCGTCTTCGGTAAGCAATCGTACTTCGCGAAGCACAGCTTCGTAACTTTGTCGGCGAAATTCTCTTCGCACATGTTTTTCAGCGCGTTGCGCGTTGTCGCAGTTGTCGCGACAACCGACACGAACTCCTGGATCTGATCAACGTTGCTTTGGATTCACTTATGTGGCTTTGATAGATAAATGAATAAGCTAGTACGTTTAAATTGGACGGTAACTTGCGCTACCTAGCCTGTGTGTTACAACTACCCTAAAACAACTGTCTCTGCACGTGTGTGTATTTTCATAAGCTCTCCAGTACTAAATATGCTAAAAACCTATTGGTTTTTGGTTTTATAAAGAGTGATCCAAACCAATACGTTTTTGTGCGCGCCACACATGCGCTCCCGGAAATTGACTCCGTAAGTGTGACGTCATGGGTCCAAACAAACCGTTGCTAGGGTCGTTGTTATGGACAAACACATGTGGCTAGATTTCGCTACGAAAACCCGACCGTTCAAAAATCAGGAGTAAGATTTAAACTTCTAAAAATCACAGATATAGAAAGCTTGAATGTCGTATATGTTTCGGCAGAAGTGTGCCAGTAATCGCTTTTTTCTGAAATATTTACGACTGCAACTTCCGGTCCTCAAGATGCCTGCAGCAGACGACGAATGCAAGAAGTATGCCGTCTGCCACACGGCAGCAGGCCAAGCCGGCGCCGTCGTCTCAATCGTGTGAATAAGGACGATATTCTGACATTGCATCTGTTCTAAATATAATGATTTTCACTAACTTGAAAGAATTCATGGTGGGGTGCGATGCAAAATATGGTTTATCGAAAGTCCGGGCGTCGATTGAGATGATCTTCTGCTAAAAGATCGCATTGGACCCGTGAGAAAAGCACTTCAGGCGATCGGTCGAGATCCCAAATTTTGTTTGTGGACTCGCGCTATGTGAGGGTACACTATAGTGAAGGTGCGTCGTACCTAGTTGTAACCATCGCTGCAGGTTACTGAAAAATCGCGATAGACATGAAATTCTTTATTAAACTGACAACCTCAATAATAATAATAAACAAATTACCTTGACGGCGTACGAATTGTTTCTCATACTGGCCTGCACAACGCCGGTAATGCACTTCAGGTCGTCGTCGTAAATGATCGGCATGACGTGGTTTGATTTTACGGCATTTTCCCCCCTTTGAACTAAGCTGGGTTCTTCACAGAAAAAAAAAAAAAAAAACGCACATTGCGGAGGTTTCTACGGCCACGGCAATGCACTTGTTTTTGTCGCTTGTTTACCGACGCAATTCAATGAAGACGCCCGCTGCAACAGAGGCCAGCAAATCTATCGTGTCGTCTGCTAGCAAAGCAAAGCGGAATGTAATACTTCAGAAATTTATTTATTTATTTTATTTATTGCATACTGCAGATCTTTCAAGGTCCAAGCAGGGTGGGCGGCAAACATAAATAACACCACAAAAAAAAAAAAAACAATGGCCGCACATAAAACAAGAAAACAATTTTGGGAAATCTGCTGCACAGAATACAAGATATACAAAAAATACACACATCAAAACCCGGCAAATCACAAAGCCGTAACAATGACCTATCAAAATACACAATGGCAAAAATTACAGTGAAACTTCAAGGCTGAAAGCTCCATCAAAATATTCATTGACAAAATACTACAATGAAACTATTAAGCGGTGAGGGTCACTGGGACAGATAAAAAAATTCCAATGATGATTCAAAATCAGGTGAAGAAAACAGTTCCAGGGGCAATGAATTCCACTCGTTTATTGTCCTTGGAAAATATGAAAACTTAAATGTGTTTGTACGTGCGAAATAGGGCGTTAAAGAGTAGCGGTGATTGTGCCTTGTTTGCCTGGTTGAAAGTGGACCAATGTAAGAAGAGGAATTTAAGGAAACCTTAGAATTGACAAGTTGGTGTAAAAACTTTAAACGGGCAATCTTACGTCGGTGTTGGAGAGTAGGTATCTTGTTTGTCTGCATTAGTAATGATGGGGAATCGGTGCGTTTGAATTTCCCATAAACAAAGCGAACAGCGCGTCTTTGAACTTTTTCTAGAATGTCGGAATGTTTTTTTGTAGATGGATCCCATACTATAGAACAATATTCGAGTTTAGGTCGAATAAGAGAAGTGTAGGCTAACAATTTAACGTATGGGGGGGGGGGGGGGCGTTCTTAAGTTTATGCCCTTCATTGTTGCAACACGACACTGAAACGACAAGAACATTGCTCATAAAAAATTATTTACTTACTTCTAAGCAAAAATCTAGCCTCATGTGGGGTTTCCATGCATTAATCCCATAGCAATATCCCTAGCAACGGTTTGTTTGGACCCAGACGCCTTGTTGTGACGTCATCAATTACGGGGTCAATTGCGTATTTCGTGACGTTTTTGCTGTTTCCGGTGCGCTTTCTGAGTCACAAGCGTGCGCGTTGGTTAGGACGGTGCGCTTTCAGGCGAGCGGAAAGCATTTGCGCCCGACGGCGAAAAAACGCGGAGCCGGAACTGGTGCCCCCACCCGATTGGCCGGGAGAGGATATGGGAGAGGAGCACCCTACTACGTCACAGCGCGTTTTTGTGCGCGTTAGAAAAAGTTGAAATCATCCAACTTTCTTATGGGCGACCGGAAGGCGCAAGGAATCAGCGCGACGTCACGAAATACGGAATTTCCGGGAAGCGCACGACCTACGGGCGCACACAAACGCGTTGGTTTGGACCGCGCTTAACTAAAGGAGAAACCTGGCGTCCTGGTCACCTGCAGCATAGCTCGAACTCCATCGGAATCCGTAGGGAAAAACTCAATCGCAACGCCACATCCCGTGACCAAAAGGGCAGCCAATCAGCGACCGATTGAGTTAACTTCATCGTTGAGTTTGCGATCTAGCAGAGACAAACAGGATGGATGGATGGGCGGGCGGCAGCCTGTGCCACCTAGCCTAACATATCGTCATCCTCTTTTTTTAATTTGTATAAATTTTGTTTTAACCCCCCGCCCCGTTTTAAAGTGTTCCCATCGCTTATTTCAAAGCGCAGCTCTTAGGCGCCCGTTTCCGGCTTGAGCGGCGTCGGCATAACCGTGAGGTCACGTAACCCCCATGACGTCACGAGGGTCACGTGACATCACGGGGGGTGACAGAGGAGGAGGAGTAGCAGTCAGGATGACGAGGTGAGGAGGAGGGAGGAGGGGTACCCCCGAGTGCCGAGTGCCGAGAACTTTTGAGATACTATGACGCGGACCTTACCTCTCTCCCATTCAAGTTGTCCCTAAGTCCAAGTCCCTCTCGAGGTTTATACTAGACTGTTCACACCTCACCCTCCTCCTCTCCAGGACCTGGGTGTCGGGATTTTGATACCCTCTTGCTACGGTTGCTGCCCTTCGACTGGGTCCCCCTCCAGAGGGTCGAGCCTTAAGTAGGCCCGGCCCCCTGGCGACGGAACCCTCTCGACCCACGGGGTCGAGACAACGCTACCGAGGAGCAGGACAGCCGCAGGCCAGCCTTCCTGGCTGCAGGCGCCCCGCACCCCCGGTCCGACCCAGCCTACCACCGCCGCTGGTCAACTGGGACAGGGTAAGCGCCACATTTGGGTTTTCCCCAAATGTTGATACCCTCTTGCTACGGTTGCTGCCCTTCGACTGGGTCCCCCTCCAGAGGGTCGAGCCTTAAGTAGGCCCGGCCCCCTGGCGACGGAACCCTCTCGACCCACCGAGATGTGTGTGGTTGAGCCGAGAGGGAACGTCGGCGGGGTTCCCAGCCGTTGGGAGCCAACGCAGCCAACTGCTTTTATTAGTCAGAAGTACAGTGGCCGTCAGGGCCTCGAGAAAAGAAAAAGTACGGCCGTGGCCGCGCGTGAGAGCAAAAACGAGTGCGGCGTTATCGCAGTACACAAGAGTTCTTGGGGGAGCACAGAGCAATGCAAAAAAAAAAACAGCGTAGAGTTCACGTCGATAAATTCCTCTGGGCGTGGGGGTGATGACAGCAAGGTTTCCACTGGTCGCACAAACACCGAGGCCAGTCAAGCTGGCGTCGGAGTAAACAGCGTGCTGCACCGCTGGGGGCACGAAGGGGACCGCAGCGGGCAGCATGGCTAGGGTAAAAGAAAACACGTGTACCCAGTCCAGGGGGGGGGGGGGGGGGAACTCCGGTCAAGGCTGCCTGGTGAAGAGGACGTAGGGCATGGTAGTGGCCTTGATACATCGAGAAATAAACGTTCCAAAGGCCAGCTAACCGCTGGTAGGTTGAGATGGTCAGTGGGGTCTTGAGCACTTGCAAAGTGTCGAGAAGGTCCTTGTATCGGCTGGGAGTATGTCCAATGGTGCCGGCTTTCCCGTCAAGCAAGAAACCCAAAAACCGGATGCGCTGGCTGGGCAAAAACTGCGAGTCGTCTGGGTTAAGTCGAAAGCCACACTCGACGAGGTCGGTGAGGAACTGGTCGGTTTGGGCACGGAGAAAGTCAGGGTCGGAGTGTGAAAAAAGAAAGTTATCTATGTGCGACCAGCACCACAATCCGCGGGCCCTGGCTTCTCTTGTGATGGCGGTGGCCAGGCTTTGCATTACGAAAGGTGCAATCCTTATCCCAAAGGGGAGGACTCGAAATCGGTAGTAGTTGCCGTCCAGGCGAAAACAGGTCAGGGGCCTTGTACGGGGGTGAAGAAAAAAATGGTAGAAGGCGTCTTTAAGGTCGATTTTGGTAAAAAAAGGTTCTCTGGGGAGGGGACACTGGGTCAGAACCTTCGGTAAAGGTGGTAAACAAAAGGGCGGGGCTGGCAAGTGGGGAGTGAGGTGTGAACAGTCTAGTATAAACCTCGAGAGGGACTTGGACTTAGGGACAACTTGAATGGGAGAGAGGTAAGGTCCTCGTCGCGTCTCTTCGATCACACCTGCCAGGAGCATCGACGCCACAGCGTCGCGGAGCACAGGGAGCTGGGTAGGAGGGGGGCTCCAGGCGTTGAAGACGGAGCCTTTCTTGCTTTTGATGACAAGTGCAGATGGGCCGTCAGGAGTACCCTCCTGAAGAGCTGCTAATTCGGCGTTACAGGGAGTTGTTAACGGCTTTCATTTTTAGAGCGCAGCTCTTAGGGGCCCGTTTCCG